TAACCCAGCTATTCAAGCAGCCACACAAGGAGAAGGGTTTCTGTCATCTTTTTCAACCCTGCAAACCAGTGTCAGTGTCATTTTATGAACAGTCACATGGGCTACGCGTGAGGCTTTATCCGGTGGAAGAGAGCATCCTGCTGCTGCTCACACTCCTGTCCTGCATCCCTATTATGCTCTGCCAACATACCTGCCAAAGAAATTGGCCTCTTTGATGTCTGTAGTAGTGTTACAGTGGCCACAATATCGGAATTTGTAGTCGTAGCTGCGCTCCCTCAGCACCATCTCATCCTCTGAGATGGAATCCTTGCGGCCTGTGGTTCGCAGCCGGATGGGGCCACCCCCTTTCTTGTCCTCAGCTGGAAAGACAACAGATTTCCCTCATCACAATTTGGGGAGGAACATGTTCTCAGCAAACAGAAAGCACTCTAGGAGACCCCAACAGCTTTAGAGAAGAGTTAAGGACAATTCCAGCAGGGAGCAGGGCTTAGAAGCACAAGCTTCCTTCCAGATTATCTCCTGGGTACATCAGACTCCTCTTATCATACTCTCACGCAAGAGCAAACCAGGCCCAGGCACAAGGCAAGAACAGGCTCTGGCCAGTTTTTGTGCACAGTAACAATCAATCTCTCTCAGGAGTTGGAGCTTTGCTTCAGAGGGGCAGTTTAAGGAGAAAATTCCTTGTGCAATCATTAGATTTTAGTATAACCTTGAAGAACCATACTGAACACTGGCACTCACCATTATCAGTCTTGGAGAAGAGGGCTGCATTGATGTCTCTGTCTAGTGCATCGCAGGCACTGCTATGTGCTTGTTCTGGGAACTTCCCTTTAAAGTCATCCAGACACTCCAGTGCTTCTGCCACGTACTTGAGTTCAAAGAGACAGCGGGCAAGACGGAAATGGGCCTTCAGGTGGCATGGATTCAAGGATATGGCCTTCAAGCAGTCTCTTAAAGCATCATAATGGTCCCCATCCCTGAAAAAAAGGGAGAGGTGGGTTAGATAGCCCAAGCAGAAACAGCATACATTTTCCATCATCTTTTCCCAGCCCTCATTTCACTCCAAAGCTTGTTGTTTCCAGCCTTCTATGCAAGCAGACACCCCACAAGCTCATGTACTAATAGCATTTGCTGTTTCCCAGGGGCACCGTCTGACCAAGCCCAGCTTCTTGAATGCACCTCCACACGTACACAGGCAGCCCTGTAATGTGACCGCACAGGGAAGCCCAGCAAGTCTTGACCTGCCATTTTAAATCCGACAGAGCAGAGCTCACTGATAGAACACATTTAGGGAAGTCCTTTGAAGATGGAGGATGCACAAGCCCTCTGGCCAAGCAGACACAAGGCCTCTCCTGCAAGGCGAGCAGGGCCTCCTCGGAGCACGGCGGCTCACGCGTGCCCCTTTGTGGACGCACAGCGTGGCAGCATGTTTCCCTGCCCACAGTCACAGCCACTTGTAGCCCTCAAGAAGGAGCTACACACACCAGACTTCATAGCCCTGGTGAACAAATACCTAAAGCAGCAGTCTTTTCCCACCTTTACAGGAAAACCCTTTAAGTTTTAGAAATAAGCGTTATAGCAGACTGGTATCATAATGGATATTTATATCCTATTTACAGTTACTGGAGGCTACGCTTGATTTCCCTAAACTCCATGGCTGTGGGAATAAGAATGCCTCTGCTTGCGCTCTGGAAGCAGACGACTTGGCGAGCCTTGCATGCTGGTATTCAGACTGACAGAGGCTGAGAAGTCAACCTGACGCGCCTGGTGTACCAGCATCAAGCCCAAACTGTTCACAGGCACCACAATCTGTCTTAAGAGAGTGCCAAGTCTCCATATGATGGCTAACAATAATAATATTAGTGTTTCATGCCTGTAACCTATATGCACCGCACCTACCAAAGCCTGAAACAGTCCCAAGGGGAAGCAGGTGAATTGCCCTGTACCTTCCACAGGCCAACAATTTTAGATTACGTGGAGCCTTTATCAGGGAAGAGGTCTTCCTTTGTCTTTACTTATTAGAGGGAGCTCCAAATCTTTGGGTTACATGCTAAGCAGCACTTATTCATTGCCACAAGCATGTTCTGCAAACCATTCATCCTACTGCACCCTCCCGTTCTAGGTGGATGTTGGCCACATATTGCTAGGACAGTACAGAAGGTGGAGCACCTTGTCCACGAGATCTGCAGCAGAGCAAAAGAAACATGGTTCTTGAGGGCTGTCTTTGCAGCACTGTGTCTGTGTTACCAGGAGGCCAGATGCACAGCATCAGGCCACTTCTATTCAAAAAAAGAGAGAATGCAAGTTACCTGTTACGATGACAGACGGGTGTCTTGCATTTTCAGAGCTGACTGTGCTATTAGCTGCTTTGTCACCCTCAGAAATCCTTCAACCTCAACTACCAGTGTCAGACAGCCCAACAGACTGGTGTGAAAATGTACACATTGAGATGTAATGCAAGCACTAACTTCTGCCATCATTACAGGTTTGACTCAGCTTGTGCAAAAATGCTCTAACTAGAAATCAGCTAAGTATTGTCAACATAGACTGCTAAAAGCAATCTGGAGGGTGATGCAGTTGGCTCTTATGAGCAAATTTTAAAAGGACAGCCTTAGAAGCGCTGCTGAGTATGAGTAGCATCTTAAGGGAGATGAGCAAGGGGAGGTTAGGAAATTACAGACCTTCCTTTTTTTCTAGACCTCTGTTATTCAGAGAACAAGGCCAAAGCAAGACCTACAGTATTCTGCAGGGTGGCCTGTAGCTGTTCCTGCTCCGAATGCAAAGAACACCTTGGAGGCATGCAGTGGTTCAGCATGGGTCACTGTCCAACTGCTTCACTCTCCTTCTCAGTGACATCCCAGGCACCTTCTGCCATACGCCAGTAGCTGTTCCTAGCAGAAAAGTGCACCGTCTTTTCTGCACCTGCGAAGATATCGGCTCAGTACTATTTAAATTCTAATCATTGCATGCCACAGAAACCCATTATGCATATATTTTCACATCTTCCTGCTACTGAAAACTGTAGCAAAGCACTAGCTGACACACAGAAACGTTCAGAGCTGCCAACATCCTTCGGGAAAAACGATTCCTATAAGAAAAATGTCATTCATGAGATCAGCACTCAGCTTCTGTCTTCCATTCCTTAATCCCAACCTATTGTTCTTCTCCCTCTGAACACTGAGGTCCTTTTTGAGGCAGCTCCCAAATCTCTGCTATTGCAAAACAGCCAGTAGGCCAGTTACCAACAGTCACAACAACTGCTGGCTGCTCTTTATCTTGGCAAGAAGATGGGAGAATTCATACTGGGGATTTCAGCAGGGAGAGGAGAAGGATATCCTCACAAAGCAAATGTAGATGAAGGACCACAGCTATTTTAAATATGCTAATGGAAAGTCATGCTACTCAGTCTTACTCTGCTCAAGGGGACAGATATTAAAATAACTCAGCTGTATCTTGCAGATGCAGCTCTGGCTATTGGTCAGAGAAGACATTACCTACTGCAGAGGGTAAGAGCATATTTTGCAACAGTCAAGACAGAACCTCCCCCAGACTCTGAGGCACCAGTTGCCACCTCCCCAGATCCCTCAGAGAGGTTTGTTTCCAGTCAAGGGGAATGTGGGTTAGCTGGGGTACGACAAGAACCACCAGATCACCTCTGACTATCTGCAATACTAGTTAGTTGGATAACGCAGCAACCAAAGCAGCTCCAGGCAGTCCTACAACAATCTTATATCACGAGACATGAAGTTCCAAAGCATAGTAAGCATTACCTCACCTGTTGACAGAAAGTTTAGAGACGTACTCTAATGTAGATCAGAACCATCCAAAGACACACAAACACCCTTGGAGACACTCATAATGCTGTTACTCAGAAGTGAATTTTTTGTTTCTTTTTAAGCAGGAAAGGAACAGAACATTACTCAGCATGCCAGTAGACAAAAAGATGAGCTACTACCAGCTGTGCTTGCTTGTGTGGTATATGTGGCCATAATTTCTCCACCACATGCTACTGTGCAATCCCCTTGTTCTGTGCCAGAGGTGACCAACTTACGGCTTGATCCAATAACCCCAACTTCTGAGTACCACGGATACCATGTCCACTGCGAAGTCAGGCACCAGCAGTGCCTGTGACACTGAACTCTCATATTCTCTGTTTCCTTACCACTTGCGCTTCATGTAGGCAGCAGCTCTGTTTCCATACAGCATGGCGTTGTTGGGGGCTTTCTGGACTGCTTTGCTGTATAGCTGGATGGCTTGAGTCCACAGCTGGCAAGCAAAGGCCTCGTTGGCTTGCTGCTTGATTCTCTCCAGATACGGAGGTAACTCCATTTGGGGACTGAATGGAAAGAAGGAGCACAGGTAAGTCTCCCATGCTAATGCTCTGTTAACTCCAGTTAAATGTCTGCAGTTGCTTTCACCAAGCATTAACGAATACCAAAAGTTTCAGAAAAAGGCAGAAGAGACCCTGTACCTGAATAACCCGAATTCAGGAGGCAGGTTTCTTTTTGACCGTCGTTTGACTGTTTCCATTTTTTTCTTTATATATATAGACATCCACTCAAAATTGAACAGTGGGTATTTTAAGCATCTAATCCCTCAGACTTCACCAATACATCTTTGCATTGATTGCATAAAGAATATTTCCAATCTGCTTTTAGCAACGTGTAACAGAATGCAAATTCAGAAGGAAACCAAGCACCTGAGTTCACTGGGCTACACAAGGCCCATGCTCAGCAACCCAAAATTCCAGCCACATCGCTGCTGCCGTGGTGGAGGGGCCATCTAGAGGAAACAAGCTGAAAATATTCAACAAAGTGACTTTGGTGGAACCTCGACTACCCATATATGGTATTAAGCAACTGTGTCTTGATTTTTAACCATGTCTCATCAGCTGGAGGAAAACAGTCAGCAAGATGTGCTTCAAGTCTGCTTCTGCTTCATCCCAACTGCATTTAGCTCTTAAAGAAAGCAAGCAGCAGGAACAATAGAAGAGGGCTCTCCATACATTCCTAGCTCACATAGACTGCAGGAGTAATCACTCCACTGTCACTGTCGTAAAGCAATTTTGGCTACTTCAGTTCAGTTTGCAGCAGCCAGGTGACCAAAAAAACGGCAAAGGAAAACAAAGCTCTTTTGACCTGACAGCCTCTCCCATCTACCAAGCACACTTCCTGCAGGCCAGGAAGTAACAACCACTCAAGACAACTAAAACCACCTTGCTTCCAGGCCTGAAAAGTCATTTCTTAGGTTTGTCTGCAGTAATTCATTGTAAGAGGGGAAAAATCCTCTTGGACAACATTTCTCTCAGGACACACTTGCCTGATCTGACTTGTTCACAGATCACACAGCAGGAACAAATACAGCTCCTAGGACAGAGACCACCTGACAATCAAGTCAAGACCCAAAGTGAATTTGCACTTCACACCTTGTTTAGCAGCACCTAACCCTGGCAAGAGATGAAGACAAGAACAACACCATAGGGCTTTCACATAGATAGACCTGCCCCCTTACCTCACATGCGCTCTTCCTTCAGACAAGCGGAAACCATTGCTGTGGAGATGGATGCCATTCGACACTCCATTGGTAGAGGTTTTTCCATTCTGCACTTCTGAAGGTTAGGAGAAAAAAAAATACAGCCATGCTAAGTGTCAACGTATACAAACTAATACCTGAAGCTTCAGCGTTTTATTTTACAGCAGAGTCAATCTAAGGCCATAGACCCATTTAGAGCAGAAATAAAAATTCCATGATTCCACACACCTCTCCTCCTGTAGCCACCTGGATTTGATTTGCCTTCTTACATTTACCACAAAATCTCTGCAGTATCCTTCACAATACAACTCTAGAGCAGAAAATTAGGTACACATAGAACTAAGTATCTACACACAAAGAAAGCGCAGCTGAAATTGAACTGACTTCAGGGCTGAGCCTAGACCATGATCAGATTACCTGACTGATCACCAGAAGCCTAACATTTAAAACTGCATAAGTATTTAGTAATTAGGGACTTTGTATTTTAGATTCCTTCAGATAAAGAATCATAGCGCTAAAGTTGTTGAACGTCTAATAGAAAAAGGAGGATGAGTATAACCACTGGAGGAATCCAGTAAAGGAATTCCAGATGCTTTCTTCCTTTCTTTTCTTACCCTACTGCTCAAGGAGCAGTTACAAACTGAAGTAATCCTCCGAAGGTCATGCAGCCACATCATCTGCCATTTCTATAGAAAACATTCAGCTTCAAGCTTTACAAACTGCATTTATGTTGCAGCTGGGAGTGCTCCTGCAGCCATTTCACAGGTTGGAAAGCTGGGGACACTGTCCATCCAGTCTACAGAACTGCTCAGACATTTCAGTGTACAGAGACGTGCATGCACGTGGAGTTCAGCCTTCGTACTGATACTGCCTTCTCATAGCCTTTGCCTGAACTTTCTGTGCCCAACAGGGTGGAGCATTTGCTGCAACTGCATCACTATGAGCCTGTTCAAACGCTGTCCTGCCATTTAAAGCGTGACCTCACCAGATACCACAGTACAGATCACCCACACGCATTCAAGACAGAAGAGAAAGGCAGGCAGGGCATGTATTTGCTACCAGGATGTGAGTCTTAGATTAAGGCCTAAGGTGAGCTGAGTACACAGATCAAACTCTGCCAGAGTGCTCCGAGAACAGGGAATGGGTGAGCAGGGAACACTCCCTCATAAGAGTCAGCTTCTGCCTGGGGAATAACGCTGTAGCCATTCACTGCGTACTGTCTGCAGTATCTGTGTACGAACAGGCCCTGTAAGAAACAGGGCCAGGAATAAAACAGCTTTTGGATTTACTTACTCATCAGATAAATGACTTTTTGATTCAACTGTCTCACCACCAGGAGGGATATTAGTGCCAAGCCAGATTCTTAGACTAGTGAAGAGATTGTTCTGTCTCCTTCCTGATGGGTAAGGAGATAACAGACGTATTCTACATTTTACTAATAAGTTTTAAAAAATAAAAACAATATACCATTTCCATGCCTGTCCACAAAGTTTTCCCCCTTAGCTGAAGGCAGGATACCAAGACCTCAACCACTCTATGAAGTCTACTTTATCCTTTGTGCACAGCTTTAAGCTTTCTCCTTAGTTCACACCTCAACAGCTCACTCAAGACACACGTTTTGTCCCTCTGTAAAAGGGTTTTAGAACTCAAGGTATGAACTGCACTGCAGAAACAGCCCAGCAACAGCCATGCCCTACTTCATTTTCCCAGACCCTGCCCAGGTTGGGCTGCACTTTGAAAGAGAGTTGTGTAGTACGTGATTTCACTCTGCCTTCCGCTCACTTTCATGATAGCATCATTTACTTACCCCCTGAAGTATGGCATTTTTTTGGGAGGAGAAAAGTGTATGGTCGCTGTTTGTATGTTAGATCAAACAAATAGACCTAAGGAACGAAGAAAGAGAATGAGACAAAAAAGTCAGTGCAATGTAGATGCTCAAGTCACAGGAATAAAACATGGCTAGATGGGTATATCGTTCCACATTTGTGTTTTGCTATTTCCAGTTTTCTAACTGGGAATCTTGTTTATAGATGGGTACACACAGGTTGACAGCAGTACCAGTGGCGTGTTCCATTCCAGCATTGGGTTCAGAAAGAATAATCCTGAGAAACAGGAGCCTTGTCTTACTCACAAGGTAAGAAAGCCCTCTACACACCTAGGGAACTTAAAAGATGACCTGACCACAAACGAACTTGCTCAAAAAGCTTCAACTTCAATAAGATGCTTTAACTATTTAATTAACACAATGATCATGCAGAAATCAAACATTTATTGACAGAAAAGAAGCTGTACACTAAACCAAGGCAAAAGTCTTTCTGAAACCAGGATTTCCTGAGAAACTTTGAAAGCAGCCCGACGAGGCCCTAATTTAAAACTGTAGTGGCATAGGAATTGGCAGCCCAGATCAGACCTACGATTCATCTAACTCAGCACTTCTCTTAAAGGGAATGAGTGCAAGTGTGAGAAAGAGATCTGTAGAGGACATCCACAGAGTAACCTGCCCACAAGCGAAGCTCCTGCTTAATCCATGCTGATTAATGCTGTCAGGAGGATTTTCTCATTTCACTGATAGGCTTTACAAAAGATCCATGAATATCACCCAGCGCTTAAAATTAAAGCAATCAATATTCCAGGTGAAGGTCTCTGCTTCTGTAAGTTCCTTATTCACTAGATTCTATTACAGAAGCAGTTTGACGTTTCAAGAATGAGTTATGAAATCCTTCCTAGGTCAGCAAAGGTCAGTTCCAGAACTCTGGTTTTCTTCCTCTTCCAGAGAGCGAAATGTGAATTGGAACCAGAACAGAATGCGGTTCAAGTTTGATCAGTGGTAGCATAACTAATAAATCCCTAATACCAACCAATTAGTCTGAATGAATCAGAATGCAGTTTAAAAATCAATCATATTACCCACAGAGAAGTTGCTACACCAGTTTTCAAGAACGCACAACAACATACGGTGATCCAACAAACATAACTGACTGTGAAGCTTTCTACCAAACTTTAGCTGTCTTCTTACCTGCTCCCCTCCCATGTTGACTAAGAGCTCAGTGCCATCAGGACTGAAGGTGACATATGTGGCCACCAGAACTCTCAGCCGGTTGTTGTAGTCTGGAAGCTTCACTGGAAGGTGCCCTGTGGAGGGAAGAGGTCCATATGTATTAACGTAACTAGTAACCATTGTCTTTGTCCTACCCCAGCTGCTCCCTTTTACAAGAGGTTGTTAGGAGAGCAATGTCATGAAGTGCAGGCACCTAAGTGATTTTCCATTTCCTACTGCTGTTTATTGAATCCTTCCATCAGCCACCAAAACACGTAGATGTGCATAGCTGCCTTTTCACAAGTTCTAGGCATCAATTCTGCGAGGCCATCTCCATATGAAGAGGAGACTGGATTATAACTAGCTTGCTAACAATGAAGTCTGCAGAACCCAGCAAATCTCAGTTTTAGGGATTCACTATGGATTTGGCTTCTGTGATTTGTGGCCATCTGCAAACAAATACCTCCATCTTCAACACTCTAATCAGGTATCCTTAATAAAGCCCTTAGCACAACCAAACCAAGGCTCCTAAATATTCAGCTCACACACAGGTTCTTTTGCTTCAGACAGCAGATGTGTTGCATGACCAATTCAGGGGACCTAAGAAATCCTCTAGTGGGACTCATCAGAAGCAAGACTGTCAAAACTGGTTTGCTGAACAGGCTGGTCTAAGATACCTTAAAAAAATCCAAACATTTTGGGGAAAAAAGATAGTAAATAATGAGCACTGGAGAACAACGTCATCTAGACTGCCCAGATACTGCATTGCTGACTCTTCATCTACAGGATGAAGACAAGCCACTTCTGTGCCAAAAAGATTTTTAACTACTTTGCTGGGAGCAGTTCCAGGAGAAAGTCTATAGCGCCCAGCTTATCCAGTCCTTGACTTCCCAATAAAAGCGACAAAGACATTTACACTAGACAAACGTTAAGGCCTGCTCACCGACACACTGCCAAATCAGGGAAAGCGTGCAGGTCGCATAAGCAAGAATTCACAGCATAGAAGTGAAATAATCTGCAATTCCATGGAACATCCCTGTATTAGAGAAGAACTCTTCCAAGCAGTGGTTTCTTGTGTGATGGGTAGAACTCTGCTTCTTCAGGCATTAACTTAAAGCCCCCTAAGTCACCCCCAGCACAGGTCCCAATACCTGCCACGTAGTACTGTGCTGCGCCATCCGGGAGGGGTTTCTGTCGGTCACAGAATGTGTGTACTCCAGCTGAAGGACTCTGCTTCATGCTTTTTCTAGCCAGAAAGAAGAACATAATGTCTTATAATCACAGCATTCAACTGCTGGAAGCCTGATCTACGCTGACACTTCTTGTTCACATACGAGGGCAAGGCCTCATGCCTATACAGCTGTGCAGTCACAAGCCTGTCTCACACCACTCCAGTGTACTCACACAGATCGAGAAGACTGTGGGTGATAGAAAAGACTAGGTAAAACTGCATGGTGAGACAGGCAAGTGCCAGATCATTGCAACTCCTGCTTCCCACCAGAGCCTCGAACAGATTTCTGTACCGCTCATGTCTGCCCAGAAGGCCCAGAAAAGCCAGTTGCCATTACCTGTGGTTGTGGATCATGCGTATGTCGTAGAGACGCACAAAGGGTCCACTTGCCCCTACTGCTAAGTAGTTGTTATCTTGGGGGTTGACCGTCAGGCATTTGGCCTCCACCAGCTGCCCGCAGTACTCCGTCAGGTCTATCAGGACTTCTGAACGTTTGCTGTTCTCTCGCAGATCATACTGCCTGCAAAGGGAAGAGAGAGTCAGGCAATCCGTGTCACTAGATAACAGAAGCAGCAATAAGAAAGAATTTAGTTTTCATGGTGACCAAACTGAAGACCACTCAAAGCAGCACATTTATACTGCTCAGTAGTGACCTACGCTTAATTATGTGGCTTGTGCATGAAGAGATGACACTAACGGTATCAACAGTCATTCGTGCCACAGGTTACTGGAAGCACCTCAGTTCAATATAGACTAGGCCTTGGTATCAGGATAACCACTAAAACCAGCTCTATAATGTGCACAAAATTATTTAAGTTCCAAATTAAACTCCAAGTCATGACCTCACAAACAGTAGCTCATACGGAAAGTGGAACAGACTCTCGTAGTAACATCGCTCATTTAATAGTTTCAATGACACTGGAGGGAAACACTGCTCAGTGTTGTACCTCCCTTCCATTTGACATGGCTATTCCTGTCTTGGCCTCCCTTTTCAGTGGGGAAAAACAGAGGAGCTGGGGAGGGTATTTATCAGAGGATTCTACATTTCAAGATGATTCCTTCCAGTTTCAAGAAAGGGAGACATTAGCTTAAGCTCTTTAGTATAGAGACAGTCACACTTCAGATCTAAGCATAGTACGTACTGCAATGGATCCTAATCCAATTAATTTTGGGGCAGAGTGACTAGAGCTCTGTACCTGATTAGCCCATCTTCTGCTGCACTCCAGAAGGTGTTAGGCCACATGGGAGCCGTGGCAATCCGCTTAACTCTGTTGGTGTGATCTCCAAACATGTGGATGGTCTCCTTGACAGTCAAGTCATGGACATGCACCTTGGAATCTGCAGCTCCTGTGATGAGGATCCGATCCCCTGAATGTGGCAAGAACTGCAGGAGACAGATTTGACACTCAAATTTGAGAAGCCCTGAGGCTTCTGCGTTCACATAGACATCACTGAGCTGTCCTGGCAGGTCACAGACAGAGCAGCTTGCTTGAGGAACACAGGATGACCCATGTTATTACGTACGTTACACATATGCCAGCGTGCGCGCTCAAGAGTCACCAACTACAGCACCACACAAAATGGTCTCTTCATCACATATCCCAATGTGCTACAACCATTTCTTTTGACTTTACAGAGAGAATGAGATAGGCCTGGGAGCAGGTATTAGATTTAACGCCATTTTTTCTCAGCATTAGAAATATTAAATCATTTGGTGTGGGAAATCGCTTGCAGGAAAATGTTTCCCAGCAAGGATCTATTCTCTTGCTCCTTAGGTTGCTGATTTTGTCAGCCATTTATTCCTTCCAATCACATACCTTAACAGAAAAGATGTTTGCAGTATGTCCTGTGTGCATAGAAAGGAGTTTCTTGTGGTGCAGAGGATCCCAGACAATGGTATGCTGGTCATCAGAGCCAGAGGCCAACAAGCTAAAAGAAACAGAAGAAAAGTATGCATCATGTATTCTTCTGTTCTAAGCTGTGACCAATTTCTTAGAGTGGTTTGACCACAGACAGCCATTAAGTTAATTCATCTCTAAGAAGCCCACTTCCTCTCTCTCTTCTAAGCTACACGTTCTTGTTGCTCCCCATGCGCCAATCCATTCAGCCAGTTCAGGGAGCTAAACCAGCCAAACATCAACTCCTCAGAAAATAAAGTGAGTGTTTTTCATTGGTTTAGCTCATTGAACCAGCTCACCACAGATTTAGATGGCACAGGGGAAAACAATAGGAGCATTTGGTCAACAACAAAATGCAGGGCTTCCATTTTCCTTATTAGCCTGCCTGCATTAACTGCTCCACATAATCCCCAAACCCAAGCCAAGGTATTCATTCCTGGACTCCGGATGTGCCCAAGCAGTCCCAAGCCAGGGCTCATTTAGTGATCCACAGACTGCTTTTTAAGTGTAGGGTGTGGCAGCGGTACTGGAAGGCGCTGTTTGCCTTGTACATCTATCTTTGTTTGAAGCAAAAGAATTTGACATCTGCAACCATCAGCTCTTTTAAACTTGTTTCCTTGTAGCCAGATCTCTTTCAAACACATGAAATTTTCACTGGCAAATAATTTTGAAGAGTACCAGGCAGCAGACTTTGGATCTTGTAAGGGGCATGTCAAGAAATTCCTTCCATCCAGTCATTTCTCCTGCAGATACTCTTTATTCCACTTGGTTAATAGAAATGCTCTTATGTTTAGTTTTCCTCTAAAATTGCAGAGAGGGGTAAATGCTCCACCTCCCTCCCTTATACATTTGTCCCCCAGCAGCAGCTTTTAACAGCATGGTGAAGGGGGTGGGGAAATGTCACTACCAGATGGGCAAATCCTAAAGATCCATTATAATCCATAATACCACTTAAGAGAAGAGAAGCAGCCTTCAATCTCCACTTCTTAGTCTGACCATTTCCCTTCTGAACTCACCAAAGAGGCATTTCTAATAATATCCAGATATATTTAACAAAATAAAGCTTCTTTTGAAGGGTGAGCTCTACTAGAGTTGAAAACTTTGAGCTCCACTTTACTAGGAATGGGAAGCAGCTGCTTATGATAAGATGACCTACATCCTACTCTTGGGAGAACCTGGGGTTATCAGTTTGTTGACCCCCTGAATCAAGCCACATACTTACTCTCCTTTTTCGTTCCATTCTAGACAGTTGACACACCCAGAGTGACCCTGAGGAAAAAAAAAAAAGGGGGAGAAGATGGTATTACACAAACT